TTTTTTCAATTAGGTGTACATACTACCAAACTCGTGCTATTGGTTGCATTATTCTAATATTTTTTTCTCAGATTCAACCAGAGCTTATATCATTGAACCCAATGGATATTAATAAAGTACGAAAGAAAAAGAAAACCGCATTAGATGATGACGAGGATGATGACGAGGATGATAATGAAAAGGTAATCTGATTGGAATCCTTGTGGTAAAAAGTGTACACAGGGAGCCCATGCCAGTAAGTTTTCTTTGCTTCTTAGTTTTTCATTAACTTGAATTATTTGGTTGAAGGATAAAGATGATGGAAAATTTGAACCTAAATACAAGAAGAAAGGTAGAAGTTCATCTGCAAAAAGGCATTTAAGAAAGAARGGTCACACAGAGGAAGAGAAAAGGGTGAGTAAAACTACCTTTTTCTTTCATGTTTTCCTTTTTTAACTTCAACTTCAAATCTTGTTTTTGTGGTTGTTGATGATGATGCCTTTTGATTGATAATGGTTTCTGTCTGTTCTCGTCTGTTTCAGTTACAACTTAGGAAAAAGAAAGTAGAAGAGAGAAAGAAACAGAGAGCAGACAAGACAGAATCTATAAGAAACAGCACATCAGCTTTAGAGAGATTTGCTAAGACACCCAGCACTTAAATCCTTATCCCCTCACTCCATTATTACATTAATGAATTATAAGATAATACTTTAACTTAGAATTGAATTATCTGTGGTTTTTGAAGCGTCTCTCATTTTCTCCTCTCAGTCTTGTTGACGTGAATGAATAGAGGCAGGGTGGGGGTCGCATTAGTACAACATTCGGTTCAGTGTTTCAAGTGTTTGTAGCGAGATATTGTATGTTGACACTTTCTATGAGGATATCATACTGTTAAGCTGAATTAGTGTACCAAGGTTAAGCGAACACAAAGCGAACAAAACTTTTTTTGCTGTCGATGATCACAGCTGCTTTGTGTGGGATGCCCACTCCCGAAACGGAAATCGTTCGAGTGAATAACCTACGAATCTCTTATATTGACAGCTTTGATGGAAAATACAGAGAAGCGTATAGTATAGCACTAAAGACGATACAAATGAATGCGGGTAATGTAAAAATCTATTCGGAAGTTCTTTTTTGTTTGCAGTAATAGAGAACAGCCTCGTTTCCTTCGGATATTTCTCAAAGGATCAGACTCAAGCACCTCAGTTTTAGACAATAACCTTTGGTAGATATCTTGATCGTTTCAAACCTCTCTGCTTCTTATCTGGAATAGCCACTTCAGTTCGTCAAGTAAAAGTGTAATACTCGTGATAGTACTTCACGTTTAGAGCACTAATGACTAGTGATACCAAAGGAGGCGCACAGCGGTAATAAATCCACCAATGAGATAGTCTTCTCCGTGAGGATCTGGGACCGAAACTGATGACGGCTGCGAAGGAGACTACCAATGAAAACATTTCAAAATATCCTTGAAAGCGTTACGAAAGTTAGTGCTTTGGAAGGCATAGATAAAAGGATTTACACCTGCCTCTGCGAAAAACCCAAAGTAGTAGTACGAATAATACTCGTAGGAGTTGGCTGTCGCAATATTAATGATAACTATGATTGCTATAGGGAAGTAAAAGATGGCGAATAACACAGTTACTGTTACAGACATTTTGACCACGTGGATCTGTCGTTTGAGTCTCGCTCTCTGAGATGCTGCTGACATTGACTGTACTGCTACTTTATTCTGCGAGTAAAGTGAGTRAGCGATTTTAAGATAGCAGAAACTGATGATTGCGAAGGACAAAAAACAAAAGACGGTAATTCCGAAGAATTTGTAAATATTGATGAAAGATTCAGATGTGGTATTGTACACAAGGCGACATTCTTTTTCGTCATATCCAGTCATAATATACAAGGGAGAGGTGACGATGAAGCTGCTCAACCAGATACTTATCAATGCTATTCTGAGCGTACGGCCTGTCCATCGCGATCCTGAATGTAACGGTGTTACGACACCATGATACCTTTCTACTGCTAAAACAGTTAAAGTGACAATAGCTCCGGAAGTGGCTGTCACTGAAATGTTATATGATAACAACAGTTTACATAGATAATCTGCCAAAGCTCCTTTTTCTAGCCTGACCATAAACTGGACACACCGCACCAGAAGAAAGAAAAGGGATGTAATATCTGAAATGGCAAGGTTTACTAGAAGAAAGTTAGTAGTTGTACGTAAAGAACGCTTCTTCCAGACTGCGACAACAACTAGGACGTTTCCAGCTATGGCTACAAAAGTGATGAGAATAAGAGCAAGGTATAACCAGTCTTTATCGCTTATTATCGCCATCATTGGTATTCACAATGTCGCAATAACTTGCCAGCATTCCATGCCTGGTCTACTCGCACTGAAAAGGGTTCTGCTTGTTGGAAGGAATTAAGCTGGGGTGGATCGATTTTGATTGGTTAATTGATGAGGACACGGTCGTGATTGGTTAATTGATGCTGACATCATCTTTTCTACTAACATCTGCTTCTCTTTCTCTCTCGACAAAATATCTTCACTTGTTTTAAGTTTTTGCCTTTTGCTGCTCGTTTATAATTGTTAGTCGTTCAAATATGGCCGAGGGCAGCTCTAGACGAGAGATAATAATCAATCTGTAGTGATCATTCAAAGCATGCTGTTTTCTACCTAAGGCCGACCATGGATCCACCCGACACTTGCAGCCATACATCCATTGCCAAGTGAGGCACGCATGCAAATCTTCCACATTCAGAAGGTGTTCAGTATTTACGCCACCATTCACATTTACCTTCGAGCCCTCTTCGTGTGAATAAATGCGATTAAGGCCTGCATGCATAAAGGTGAAAGCTACTAAGTTGCTTCGGCAACACGATTAGAATAGCAAAGATCAAACTTTATAAAACTAAGACGCCGTGAACGTCAATCCAAAACTCTCTAATGGCAATCCGGCACCTTGGCTCATCTTGCATTCATTTTGCTCTTCACACAGGACATCGAGAACTAAAGCAATTTCTTATCTCCATGGAGCCCCTCTAGAAGGCGAGAGATTCCATCGGTGTCACAGTTACTAAACTTCAGGTTGAGGGAATCCATCCTTGGACCAGAGAAGGAAGGAGCTACGAAACCTAATGAAACGAATAGTAAAGCTAGTGGAGAGGGCCTCGGATTAAGAGCCTTACTTGGGGAAATTATCTTATAAACATTCCGGATTTGTCCTCCTGCAGGGATATCAGGAGTATTTTGCTTGGAAGTGTGAAGAGGAGCATGGAAGAACTATTGGCATGCCTGAGGTAGTCTGTGAAAGCTCTCTCAAGGAAAGAGACTCTGCCACAATTTCAATATAAGATAAACCAACATCTTTTTTCGCCTGGCAAGAAGCCATATAGCCAGTCGATCCACTGATACCAGGGGCAGACTTAAGTTGGGAAGCATGTTTTATACGTTAGTAATATTTTCAAACCACAAACTAGATGAGGTTCCTGTAACGCCTAATTTGTACACCCCCATTATTAGATCTATCTCTGATTGGTTCACGTCAACATTAAATCCATTTCTGATTGGTTCATGCCAGTGTTACATCCATCTCGGATTGATTCACGTCAATGTCACATCCATCTCTGACTGGTTCAAGTCAACAATACATCCATCTCTGATTGACCACAACCCAATTGTATTACAGAGGTATTTCCGGGGTAAAAATGTGAAAATCTAATATTTCTAATTCTTGAAAGTTTTTTTTTGCTAATCGCACAATCAATAGTCTGCTATTAGTGTCGTCACGCAACGTTCACGGAAGTGTCGTCACGCTCACTAATAGCGACTGCGTAGGAGAATACACAATCAACGGCTCTGCTGACGTGGCCGAGGGTGGATGGGGAATTACTAACGGTTAAAGCATTTTCTAATTAAAACTTACTCATCATATTCAAATGCTAATACGCAGTTTTGAACACCAGTATATTTCTCTGATTTTTATGTTCGCGTTTGACGTTACACTCTACTATTTTTGAAACCTAAAAAGATATAACTAGCTAAAAACTAGTGTGAGCTGCGTCGGTGTTTCTAATGAAACAGTAATAGTGAAAAAGTAAATTATACACCGTGAAAAGATGAAAAAGCTTACTGACGTTTCGGACGCTAGTCCTTCGTCGGAGTAAAAGAGAAAGAAGTGGTAGAAAGGAGTGTATATATGATAGAATAAAACAGAATAAGACAAAAGAAACCAATGAGAGCAAGGTAGGCAAGGAAACAAAAGCAAACAAGCAAAAGACAAAAGAAAAGGTTAGTTGAAAATAAAGCGTTCATTAATCCCGTTGGGACTAAGAGTGCCCAATAGGTGAATAAGCCGCATATTTTTGGTCTTGCGACAATCATTGTTGCCGTTAATCAAAGAAAGACCGAAAACAATGAAGTCAGAAAGAGAATGGTTAGCTAGATTAAAATGGCGGGGAAACTGGTTTGGTGGGATCGTTATTGCGAATATCATAAAGATGATTGCAAATGCGATCACCAAGAAGTACTAGAAGTACTAGTCTCCCTCGCACCGTTTTTAGTGTCGGTCGTCACGCAACGCTCCCTCCTAATCAGTGTTCGGTTACCTGTGCACTGCATGTGGTACACGTGTTTCTCATGTGAAAGAGGAAGCAAACTTCTTCAAGATTTTTAGGAGCCCGAGCGTTTTTTCACGGTGAGTCCTTTCTTGTTACATTAAGTAATGAATTGTAGACGAAGAGTGAGCATAACACTTATTTATAGCCGCCATCTTATGTGCATAGAGCTTCAAAGTTTTATAAAGTTTTATCAAGTCGTGGTAATAGTAGTAATTATTATGCGTTCGGTGTGTGTGTGTGTGTAGTTAGATAACTTTATATATAACTTTAAGACTTACTATATGTTCAATCATTGGTCAAGTTGTTAGTCCTACGGGTCGGTTCGGATCGCGGGTTTGATTCCTGCGAACAGTAAACGTGATGAATAGGGTTTGATTAAAAATATGCCACGCGGAGGGTTTTATCCGGTTTCTCTGGTTTCTCTGGTTTTAAACACGTCAGAGAGTTTTTACACGTATTTTTGAATGTAGTGGTCCAAGTGTGTCTGTGTGTATGTGAAATAGTGGTCCAAATATTGAAAGTAGTATTCATAATTTTTCACCCACTATAAGAAAGCATTAACTTTAGATATGACGTGTATTAGTAAAGCATAAAACCTTATCTTAGATAAATGCAGCGATATAGTGAGAGAACAATTCCGCTTATGGTGTACGGTAACCTTATATTTTCTCCGATGAAGGACTAACGTCCGAAACGTCAGTTTCATTTTTACATACCATACGGTGCTATAAATTATCTATCTATCAACTGTATTACTGAAAACACCGACGCAGTTTACACTAGTTTTCACTAGTTTTCCACCTTATATTTTCACAACTCATTTCTCTTCGCCGGCAAGTGTACGAGAAAGAAATTAACCTGTGATACGATGGCTGTAGAGCGCAGTGATTTTCGCGCTGAACCTACACCCGGGTTCTACACCCTAAATACGGTAAGCGCACATTAGACATAACTGACTTTGACGAATTCGCAAGTTAAAATGTATGCCATTTTGACTAGTTCAGTCGTGACGGCGTCTATATGCTGCACCAGGTGTCTGTCTATTGTATGGCTGTATATTTCAAGTAACCTCGGATCGGTGTGTGTTCTCGATCACACATTATATTGTATATACCACATGGACATTGTGGTATTTCATAGCGAGCCGTTCATGGCGATGTGGGTTAAAATATATTGAATAACTTTTACCGATGGCTATTGTGTCTATTGTGGCTGTTGATGGAATTTCCAGCATCCAGATAACTCATACAAGCAGTAACATCTTTTTTTCTTCTTTTTGATTTTTACCATGGTAAATGTTGCCTGTCTCGATGTCTTCAACTCGCCAAGGGGGACCAAAAATCCTGAGTCGACTCAAAGTACTAGTTCGGGGATTTCGGGCAGAATGATAATGGTACAGTCATTCTCGGAATTCATTGTCATAACCTCTAGAGGTTGTTCTGAATTTCCGAACGGAATGATTCGGTTTAGAAAATCCGTCCAAAATTTCCATACCATATCGCTGAATCGTGAACTAAAAACAACTTATTACGAATTCGACAGTGTCTGATTGGATGAGCAATAACCCTAGCGTTCTGTGATTGGTTGATGATGAGATCATCCTTTGGCGTGACAATCCTCCCGTGACTCAGTGATGACCATCAAGCAGCAGTAACCATGTCGGATTTAGCATATCAGAAACTACTTGTGTTTTATTTTATACTTGGCTTATAATATTACTAAGTAATTTGTTTGGGGGAAAAGAATCATGAGAGGCCTATCGACCAGACCTTAAGAAATAAGGCAACACAGCAGATTAAATAAACCATTACATACATTTTTGGCGAATGCTCAAACATAAGGGGAACCCCCTAATACATACCATACGTTATAAACAAAACTATAAATTTTCGATGTGAATGTTTTATTTTATACTTGGCTCATAATATTACTAAGTAATTTGTTTGGGGGAAAAGAATCATGAGAGGCCACGAGAGAATTCGTAAAAGTAATTTCAAGTAATATTACCCAGAGCTAAAAAATAAGGCAACAGAGCGGATTAAATAAACCATTACACTTTTGGCGAATGCTAGACATAGGGGAACCCCCTAATACATATCATACGTTATAAACAAAACTGTAAATTTTCGATGTGAATATTCCCATAAGGTAAGCAAATTCTTCTTTTTCGCATTGTAAAGCATAAAAACTGGGAAAACACGTCGAAACATCGCTTTTTTAAKGTTTTCTAGAATCGCTTATAGATAGTCGATGTTTGCATACGCTTCTCAGTTCCGCCCCCGCATCCAAGCAAGAATATTCCATGATTGAACTCGTTCTAATAATCCGGGGAAATTTCTGCATAATTTCTGCAAAATCTCGCGTTTTACTAATGGTATCCCTGTGTGTTTAATGATTTGTATGATATTCAATATTATTAGAATATTATTAATGAAGTAAGAGATCCTCGAGTCCTGAAAAATTAGAAATTAACGCAGAAATTTTTAAAACCACAAGTCGACCTTAGCTTTAGGTAGAAAAACATTTCCCTTGCCCTGACTTATCTCGTTTACTGCTCTGACTGAATATCTACTCGCAAAAATTCAGACTTAACGTCGACACAGTTCGTTTTGGCATAAAACAAGCTTCCAATTTTATTCTTGATCAAATAAGATCAGCAACTATATGTGAATATACTTTGTATTAAAGAATGTTGTTTCTGTGGCTAGGTGCATCAATATGATAAACATGATATGTCCTTCACTTTCGCTTGTCTTCAGTTTCAGATGTCTTTGACATATCAGGCCTCCGCCATTAGTAAATATCAATACATCCTGTACGTTAGGAACTCGGGAAAAAAAACTAACTTTATGCTTTATTATTTTACTATTACTTTAATATTTTACTTTTATTTTCATAAGATTTTTCAAACTTAAGCCAGGTCAGTATACAGGGACTTCATGTTGATAAAGCCAGCCAAATTTCCGCCCCTCTAGCTGTAGTCTAGTCTCCCTCGCATCCGTTTTTAGTGTCGCTCGTCACGCAATGCTCCCTGACGACCAACACTGATGCGAGGGAGACTACTCTAGCTCAGCTAGATCAGATTCCTTCATTAGTCAAGTTGGCAACTCCAATGTCAGCTTAAAACATTTTATCGTGGTTCTCTGAACGTAACTAAAGAGGAGTATTTTTATCTTTATCAGCTTTGTGTGTGTATTTCTTTTATGATGAGGGGAAGCTTGCGCCTATCGGTTTATTCGGGTACAATTTCTTAAAGCATGTCGGTGTCGCACTTTCGATCATGGCGTACCCTTAAGCAATTGATCTCGACCCTGCAATGTACGTGGACCAATCAGCATTGAAAAAAAAAAACAGTCGTTACTAGAGCCTCTTCTCGAGAGAATCGAAATCTTGAAATAAGTCCCCGTTCAATCTCGTACCAAGAACCTGCGTTTCTTCTGGCGCATGCGCAATTTTCGGAAAGTGAGATAAACGGTCAAAATATGGAAAGTAAAAATCAAATCGAATTAAAAATAAAAGTAAAAGTCATAGTACAAATTAAAAATCGGGGGGAAAATGTTTTAAATTTTTGGCAACTCTTTGAACGCGTGTGCTGTTATACCGGAAGTCCAAGAAATCCTGGTCTCAAAAAATGGATTATGCCAGAGCCCTCGTTCTTCGCCGCAGGCCAGAAGAAACGCAGGCTCTGGGTACGAGATTGAACGTCTTCATGAAAAGAGACATACGAATTTAACCACAGGTAGCCCAAGCTTGGTTTCGGTGGTGTCATGTAAAGGAAATGTATGGGAATTCTTTAAAAATTTCAATAAAATCATTGAAACGTGAAATAAAGCCTCAAAAGTTTACCCGATCATTGAGAAATAACACTTCTTTCGCTCTGTGTAGTCATGTTTTGAATATAGCCCGTTTTAAGGATTTCCCCTCCACCTTATTTCTTACTGGTTGGGCTACCTGTGATGATGTCAAACTTTGATGATGTCAAAATTTAAAAAAGCAGGAGAGAGAAAAGGAAAATTAGGAAAAAAGAGAAAAGTTCAAAAGAAAGAAAAAAAAAAAAAAAAAAAAAAAAAAAGGAAAAAAAGGATTAAAAGGTTCCAAAATAAACATAAAGCTTTTTACTACACGCGATTGTCAACCAGTTTAGGAGAAACTTTTGCCGTAAATTGAATCCCCGAAAACTGCAGGTGCTGTTGCTAAAGCGTGCTAAAGAAAGTGATCAGCTGTAAACTCGGGAATCGACGCTAGCTTCAGTATAGTCAATGTTTGTGATATATATCGGGTAAAACGTTATACTTACTTTACATCCTCTCACATTCATACTGCAGCATTTCTCCAGATATTTGCCATATTTTAGATATTTTCTGAAGATTTTACGACTGAAGTCCACAAACGTTACCGCTGCGAGTATGCTTGACTTGCGTGACCGGAATGTATTAAACCCTAGAGAAAAGAACGGGTGGTCACTACGTATACATATAGAAAACTGGAAAACGAGCGAAAAAATGAATTGAGAAGATTATCATTTGGATTATTGAACTGCACTGGGAATTGTGATGAAAAACAGAAAGCATGACGTGCGCAGCTGCAGTCTCGTCAAAGGAAAGCCAAGTTGGAATCTCTGTCTCTGCGTGATCTGGCTCTTCTGGATCTCGTGAATCAACAGGCAGGGAAAGGCCTAAAGCCAGCCTGACAGGATCATTGATAAGAGCTGCCGGAGAGTGTTCTTGGCCGCCTTCGTTTAGTATGAAAATCTCCCAAAGAAAAAAAAAAAAAGGCGGGGCGCGTCATGAAGAATATTGTCATCTCAATGTGAAGGCGTCACTGCACAAGTTACGTTCAAGACAACGAAACCAACAACACCCCAACAACCAGTCACACTACGCATGCTCCGAATCTAAGGCAGAAACATTTGCATAGAGCACTGTCAACACTGTCACGGTTATGGTACGTCCCGATACATGCACGGTGAAAAGTGCTCTAGAGAACACTAGTTTGCGCGATGAACGTGCGCTACACCGGCGAAAACCTCTTCCGAATCAGGGCAACAAAACTAAGCAGGATTCCGTTCACAGGCTGCATATTTGAAGTTGATTCACACAAGTGAAGAAAAGAATGAAAATTACTCGAAGCTCGGTGGCAGATCCAGCAATTTAAAAAGGGGGTTCCAAAATAGCCGCCACGCAGAAAAAGCTCCACTGAGCATCAAAAACATGATCGACTCTTCACAAGATCTCACAAAAGGGGGGTTCCAAGGAATCCACGGAACCAACCTGGATCCGCCAATGAAGCAGCAATCGTGTCATGGATGGGTTCAGTAAAGCAAGGCATTACCATTGGACCCTCCTATTGAAGAAGCTGAATATAAAGGAATCGAGTCCAAGTTTTTGGGACCCATAAGTCCTTTCGGTCATTGTACCGTTACAGTCTCTAAGCGTGGAGACGGAACGGACGAGCGAGAGACTGTGAAGAGTCTAATTATGCCAGAGCCCTCGTTCTTCGCCACAGGCCGAAAGAAACGCAGGCTCTGGGTACGAGTTAACAGATCAAAAATCAAAGTATCAGAGTATCAAACACGGAAAACTGTTTTTGATTTGTTTTATAAAATAACAAACGCGCGAAAAGATCGAAAAAAAGCAAAGTCTAAGTAAATTCTCCCTACGTGCCGTCTTATTCAAACTGACCAATGAGCGCGCGCGATAGATTAAAAATGACGGTAGCGTGTTTTGATACTCTCATCAAACATGGTTTTCGACCAATCATAGCGCGCGTAGTATCCCAAATATTTTATAAATTGAGTTCAGTTCTGGTATAATTAAGACAGGTCAAAAAGGTCGCCTTTTTCTTATAAAAAACACCAAGAAGGGTAATAATCAAACTCTAAAGGTCACCATTGTATAGGTAAAGTATGTGTTAAACTTGAAAGACAAGTGTAGACAAGGAAAACGTTGGGTATTTTTAATATGAGCGAGCAGCTTTGCGGCGCTCCCATCCAGCAGCGATAGTGAAGGATAAACCTCTTATCTTTTCTTGCTCGTTTTGGTTATGTAATACAAATGCGTTTTCTTTGGTTTTATATTAAATAATTGTGATATCACTGTAAGATAATTCCCATAAGTCGCTGTTTAAAACTAGCCAGAAACATTAAAGATATAAACTATATTTGCAGACGATGTATTAAAACTATGTTATTTTGTATGCAGCAGAAGTAAGCTTAAAAGTTTTGCCTTCAAAAGTTTGTAAGATATACATGTATAAGGCTATATTTATAGGAAACAGTTGAGTTTTTTAGTGTTTGAAAGAAATTACTGCATGAAAACTTTATGAAATAGTGATACACAATAAGAGAAACTGAAGAAGACATTTGCCTATCTACAGTGTTATTGACAATAAATTCATATACAGCAAATACGTACTGAATATGATTATTTCAGCTGAGTAGCAAAAGATTCTATGGTTCATTGTAATTTTAATTTGAACTTTAAATTCTATAAATAGGCATTTTTGTAAAACCATTATCCTAATGCTAATGGCTGCAAAAATGGGACCAAAGAAATGCATTTTCAACATTTTACTGAGGCATCCCTGACAATTTGCTACCTTGCCATCTGTATTCATTGACAAGGGCTATTAAGGGACTGGTCAGAAAGTAAAGGGGAGGATAAGCCATGAAAAGCGTCTGGTGGATCACTTTTTTGTGTCTCAAATTCGGGGTTGGTCATGAGAAAATAAGCCTCACATTATATATATAGGGGTGGGTAATATGTTATAGTTGGTCTCGATTTTTTTGTCTAATTTGATAACTGAATATTTATGAACCACCATCTCCCCTTCTTCCTTTCCTACTTTACTTTCTGACCAGTCCCTAAAATGTTACACGCACTAAAACCGTGAACATTAAATAGTACTAATTAGTACTATTTCATACAGAATCCTTTGTTTTCTATTGTTTAATTATCACTATTTAGTGCTAAAAATTAGTATTTAAATTAGTATTTTTAACCATCAGCATATGTATGCATTTGTTTTTGGTGGAAAGACAAATGTGGAAGCTTCAAATTGCTAAAATTAGTCAATTCCAACTTTTGACAATAATTTTAAACATTTTTTTGGCCTGTTCACTAACTTGAGTATAAACTTCATGAAGGTGTATTCAAATACCATAATTTCTAGAATGCTTKGGCTTTGCCTCACTTTTATAATATAAAAAAATCAAAAGCAGAAATTGAAATAACAAACCAAGCAACTCCTGCATTTGAGGCTAAACCTGCACATACTAGAAATGAAGGTATTTTTAAGACCAGTGAATTGACAATGTAATAATAAACGCAGAAAGGTATATGTAGCTTTTGATATCATGATATATTTTTAACTTTTCTAATTATTTTGCTTTATCATTTATGTTACAGGTTTTATTGGTATATGAAGTGACGAAGTGAACAGAAACATCTTCGATAAGATCCTGCTTGATGGTCGTATGCATATGTATGAAATAACTGGGACGAAAACATGGGATGCAAAACTAATGGTTAAAAAGTTATCTCAGAATCAGATCAAAGTGAATATCTATGACCACAAAATAGTTAAAAATTATGAAGGAAGGCACAATTGGAAATAAGCAGTAGCTGAGCCAAGGACAATACTCGCATAAAGCTACAAAACCTATATTACTGTTATTAAATAGTCATATTGGCATAGCGACTTTATAGTAGGTTAATTCTAATAATAGCAGAAACAACAGTCATTAACAATTTTGGACACACCATTAACAAAAAATACTGTATATTTTACATTTCAATCAAGGAAGCTTTAAAACATTAACTTACATATATCCATTTGGGATTTATATACATAATATATACATATTGTATGTTRTTATAAAAACTACGTAACCTATTGCTATGTGATAGGATTGAGATTGTATTTTAAGAAGAAGGCTACAACACGTTAGATAGTAGATTTATTGTACTTTTTAAGCTTACTTAATTAGTAACCAGCATAATAGACCCATAGTAGAGCTTGTTTGCTACCTGTATCTAAACTAGTAAGATATAATAGATTAAGCTGTTTGATCATGTACTTGTATTCTATAGATAATGCCTGGTTATAGTCTATTGTCATCTGATCAGGAMAAMATRTMWCCAAAGTATCTGTGTAGCTACTGYAARCTGCTGCYGARAGATGCAARACAGACGTCATGTGGACACTTCTATTGTGAATCATGYRTTGCAAATCTGATGAAGTAAGTAGTTATAATGAATTGATGGCATTTTACTTCTTGAAGTTGCTAGAAAAAATATTCACTGTATTGGTTTTGATATCTTTCCATTTTTATCTTCTTAAATGAGAGAGCAGGACTCAACTGAGTCTATTCCTTTTTTTATCTTTTCTTTTCTTGAGCTTTTAATCGTGATTCATATATTCAACTTCTTTAGGGRWAATSAAATGGTTTGTCTTGAAGACAAGGAGGTTATTGATCCTAAARAGGTAAAACATATTTCATGCTTATTGAAGAGATCTTTAAATCATCAAAATATTTCTGTATGCCCAGCCATTTTCTAGKTCACAGCAGATCTAACTGATTATGAGCAGATCATAGCAGTAACTGGTTCAAGGAGAGACTCGTCCAGAGSCGCTGTGCATCTTGGGATTTATTGGGGTTATTTTTTGTTGATAACACAGATGGTATGATATGATATCTTTAGGTTTACCCGGACAACTTTGTACGCAGAGAAGTATTATCACTAGTAGTGAAGTGTGTTAACACAGAAAAAGGATGCAAATGGACCGGTGAAGTCAGACACTTGGAGGTAAAATATACGCGCATCAGTAATATTATGAAAGATTGAAGGAGTATGTAGTGACGAGGGAACCCAAAATTCACCACGGAAATTTTCTCAGGTTTATCGCTGTAATCCAAAAGATAAAATGAATCAGTAACTCTTCAATCTTAATATTTTTTATGAATTTACTTAGGTTTGCCCTTTCTTGGGTTCTCCAGGGTTCTCCTGTTTTCCTTCCCCCACAAAACCAAACACACTAAATTCCAATTCGATCTGTGAGTTAGCCGTACCCTGACTTCGCTCAGCGCAGAGGTTGTTCCAGGGTTCAATCTGTGAGTTAGCCATGCCCTGACTTAGATCAGCCCACAGGTTGTTCCAGGGTTCAATCAGTGAGTTAGCCATGCCCTGACTTAGATCAGCCCACAGGTTGTTTCAGGGTGCAATGTGTGAGTTTTAGCCGTACCCTGACTTCGCTCAGCCCAGAGGTTGTTTCAGGGTATCGATAACATTTGACGGTTGACACTTACCTGTCGCAATGTCTTCCATCGAGACAGCTTAGCAGTCTCTAACTGATGTTTTTTATTCGCTATTATTTCATAGGAGCACGTTAAACAGTGTGAATTCCAGGAGGTTCATTGTATCCACTCTGAATGTGGGATGAAAGTAACACGACGTCAGCTACCAAGTCATCTGAGAACAGATTGTAAACACAGAATGACACAGTGTTCCTACTGCAGGAAAGATGTATCAGTAGCCAA